GTTAGCTGGAGGCTTAGGTGGAAGATAAGTGCACTAGTCCAAGTCAATGTTAAGTCAGCTGCTTAGTTGGCAAGTCAAACAATTGTTCTACCTTCAATTGTCGGTTAAAGTACCATATTGACCAGTCATTTACAAGTATAAGCTCTTTAAAAGCATAAAATAGTCACGATTGACTATTTAAACCAATATACGAAAGATGGTTGTGCTATCGGGACAACCACCTAAATATTAGGTGTCTATGGTAGAGTAACTAAGGTATATGAGTTTATTTATAAGAAAAAATAAATATAAACTTTTAAACATTTGAGAAAATAGAAAACTATTGAATTATTATAATTAAAGTCTTTTTTCTCTTTTAAATTTAAAGAAATAATATAAATAAATAAACAAATGAAACTATTGATACTTTATTTTAGTAATTATAAAATTAGAAGGAAAATTTATTAATTTAATTGATATGTATTTGTTATTATATTTAAATACTATATGAAATTTAATAAATAAAAAAGCTATAAAATTACATGTGGAATAAAAATTAGACAAAATTGCAAAAATGGTCCCCGTGGTTTCTTTTTTTATGTGGTTATGGTCCAAACGTTTGAAAAGTTGCAGATTTGGTCCTTTTCAACAAGTTTTATTGTGGTTTTGGTCCCTCATCCGTTAAGTTTAACTGGTTGGCTGTTAGCTTTTTTAAAATGACAATTTTACCCTTAGGGACTATTTTCGCAATTTTGTGTTATACCATACCATAAGGACCATTTTTGCATACATTTTTTATTTTATTTTATTGAAGTATTATATTTTAATAAATATTATTTTTAATATATAATATTATATACTAACAAACATTGTTTTATTGGATTATTAATTTATTATAGTTGATTTTTTTTAATTTTTTTTTGTTAGGGTAATTCTTTTTATTGAGTTATTATATATCAATACATATAGTTTTTAATATATAATATTTATATCATAATAATAAATATTATATTATTAGATTATTAATTTCTTTTAGTTAATATTTTTAATTATTTTTATTTGATTATTTCTTTTATTTCTTTTAATTTATTATTTTCTTCCTATACTAAATATTGTTTTATTGGATTATTAATTTATTTTAACTAATTCTTTTTTAGAAAGAAATTATCGAAGTAATTATTTTTTATTGAATTATTATATATCAATATATATAGTTTTTAATATATAATATTTATATCATAGTAAATATTATATTATTGGATTATTATTATCTTTTAGTTATTTTTTGTAATTTCTTTTATTTTTTTAAATATTTTTTGTTGGATTATTACTTTTAATTTATTATTTTCTTCATATACTAAATATTATTTTATCAGATTATAATAGTAGTTCTTGTTAATTTTATTAGTTCCACCACAAAGTCATGGGATACGCAAAATCGTGGTCTCTCATCATCGAAATCGTTAGGATCGTTGTCAAACATTTTCATTTCATCTAGCTTATAATGAGAAACCATTGGGAAAATACCACCACCATCACCCGGTCACCACCACCACCACTTATAAATGTTATCAGGGTTTGTTGTGCATTATGTGGGATATGAAGGATTCCAGTGGATTATGAAGAAGTTGTCGCAAGTGGCTACCAACAACGCTGGGTGGAATAAGGTATAATATCTATTGAACCTCCGATGAAGGTGTTTGGAGGTGATCCAACTAATTTTTGATGATGATAATCAACACTTTTACGTATTTCGGCGATTTTGTGGTGGAACTAATAAAATTAAAAACAATAAATATTATACATTCAAAATAAAACAATAATCCAATAAGATAGTATTTATTATATTAAAATTATAATAAATAAAAAGTAATATCTCAATAAATTAATAATTCAAAAAAAAATTACAAAAGTTAATAATCCAATAATGTATTATTTATTATAATGCAAATATTATATATTAAAAATAATATTTGTTGATATATAATAATCTAATAAAAAAATTGCTCAAACAAAAAGAAATTATAAAAAGAGTCAACTAAAAGAAAAATTAATAATCCAATAAAATAATGTTTCGTAAAATGTAATAATCTCATAACATAATATTTATTATGATATAAATATTATATATTAAGAACTATATATACTGATATATAATAATTCAATAAAAAAAGAATTACTTCGATAAAAATTTTTTGAAAAATAATTAGCTAAAATAAATTAATAATCCAATAAAACAACATTTAGTATATGAAGAAAATAATAAATTGAACATAATAATACAATAAAAAATAATTAAAATTACAAAAATTAACTAAAAAAATTAATAATCCAATAATTTATTATTTATTATGATATAAATATTATTCATTAAAAACTATATGTATTGATATATAATAATTTAATAAAAAATTACTACAACAATTTTTTTTTTAAAAAATCAACTAAAATAAATTAATAATCAAATAAAAAAATATTTATTAATATATAATGTTATATATTAAAAATAATATCTATTAATATATAATACTTTGTTAAAATAAAATAGAATATATGCAAAAATGGTCCTTATAGTATAGTAAAAGACAAAACTGTGAAAATGATCCCTGGGGGTAAAATTGTCATTTTAAGGAACTTAACGGATGAGGGACCAAAACCACAACAAAACTTATTGAAAAGGACCAAATCTGCAACTTTTTAAACGTTTGGACCATAACCACAAAAAATAAGAAAACACAGGGATCATTTTTGCAGTTTTGTCTAAAAATTAGTTTAAAAAAATGAATAAAAATATTATGTATCATAAATTTTTTTTAAGTAGATGGATATTTACAAATAATTAACATGATCTTGTATCACTACAATTAATAAATATCATTTTACTGTTGTTTACTACCTATCTTCTTGTTCATTATTAGATAAGACAATTCAAATGTCAAAATCAAAAAACATGAATAAGGGAGAAAATTTATGAATTAACAAAAGAATACAAATTGTTTATCAAAATAAATTCTTGTGACATGTATTTCCCAAGGCACTACCAACCATAATTTTTGAAAATATTTGTAATCTAAACATCCATAAAAGAAAAAAAAAGTAAATAATTATCTGGTCAGCTTCTTCTCGAAAATATAATTACGTATTAGTGCTCTCTAAGTTCACTAGTTATGGGTGAGCAAAAACCGAACCGACTAAAGAAAAACCGACAAAACCGCAATAAACCGCAACCGAAAAACCGAAACCGATGCAAAAACCAATGGTGCGGATTTTAAATTTTGCAAAAACCGAAGGTCAACGGTGCGGTGCGGTTTCTATCCTAAAAACCGGTCCATCAAAACCGAACCGCACCGCAAGCATGTATAGTAATAAATCAATCAATGTATATTATATACATTCTATTTAAAATAGTTATAAACGATAATATATTTATTATAGTTTATTTTGTGTTTGTATAAAACTATATGGAGTGCAAAAGAAATGTTCTATTGTTAGCCAAACGTACTAATCGATTACATATAATAAGTGTGTAACAAATTAAGTCAAAATTAACCAACCTTCAATCATTAATTAGTTTGTGAGAGTGATCATAAGTTGTATTTTAAACGATTTACAATTTTTGATTATGTAATTTTGTTTTGAGCTGAAAATGAATGTATTAAAAAAAAACAGCACAATACAAGCTTATATGCACATGGGTTTCAGTTCTTACAATTTTAAAAAACCGCACAAAAAAACATAAAAAAAACTGCACCAAATTCTTAACACGGTTTAAAAACCGAAACCGCACCGATACAAACCGAAACCACATTTAAAAACCGAAAAACCGAACCATTGCAAAACCCCACCCAACGGTTTTAAGAATGCAAAAACCGCACCATGTGGTTTACGGTTCGGTTTGATCTGAAAACCGCACCAAACCGTACCATGCTCACCCCTATCACTAGTCAGCAAAATATACTTCTATAATATTTCAACCACCAATATGAAATATTGCCATGCAGCACATGTAACAAAAATAATAGGTAACACCGTAAAAATTTGATGATATATATTTTTGTTGGGAGATGATATCGTCACATGTCGTATCAGTATATACACCCTGTATTAAAGCTATGATTTGATATTACGTAGTTTTTGTCGCATAAAACATCATATCATTGTTTCACTCTTTTTTCTTTTCGTTGATGGGCCTCCGAACCAAAGTGGTGCATGCATTCTATTGTTATTGGACGTGGAAAATGACTTCTAAAGTAATTAAAAAATTATTTTATTTAGGTTTAAACCATTTTTTTTTAATACGCTGATATATTATTATTGTCTTGTTATCTTATCTCAAATGATAATATAACATAGGAACACAATTAACAAGTTAAATAGTCAAATATATATAAAAAATTTTTTATCTAAACATGAATAATTTCTTTTATAATTTTTTAAAGATTTTTTATAATTTATTACAACATTTTAAGATGGGAAAATGACACTGTAGTAAATCAAACTTTTTCCATTTGGTTAATTTTATCACTAAAGTTTTTTTTTTTTTTTGGTCAATTAAGTCACTAAAGTCAGGTTTTACTTGTCAATTATGTCATTTTCCCCGATTTTAAACGGTTTTTCGATTGAGTTTGTGTAGGTGTAAATGACTTTGATTAATAGTTAGATTATAGCAGATTACATGTAGGATTTTCCACGTCAATTAATGTAATAAGACTCGAAACTTAAACTTACTTGCTTCACCTGTCAACCCGTGTTCTTCATTTATCACCAAAACACAAAGCTAGGGTTTTTCATGGATATTTGTGGTTTAGCAGAAGAAACAAAACATTCAGTGGAATGGCACAATCAGACCCTAATGGACTGTTTGCGATGGTGGATCTCAACTATCGGGGGTATTTACTCGTAATCCTTTCTCCTACACTGGTGGTGTCAAAACCATGTTTAATGATGTTGATTTTTCTTCAATGACATTTTCTAAGTGTGTCACTTTCTTCGAACATTTCATGCATGAGTAGCGTAAAAAGATGTACTACTGTGAACCATGTTTTTCGCTAGTGGATGGGCTTAATCCCATTTCAGATGATGTGGAATACACTGCTTTTATATCGGATGTTTATGGAAAAGATGATATAATTTTTGTTGATATCGATCATGCTGGAGTTGGAGTAGATGGGTGGTTTGATGAGGATGGGGAGGATAACGATGATCATGAGTCTTGTATTGATGGTGAAAATGAGGATAATATAGATGAACTTAGCAATGGGAATGTGGAATTTAATGAGGATGTAGTTATTATGAATATGACGTCAAATGATCCTTTGATGAGTAAGTCATGTGTTGATGAGGGGGAGGATAACAAAATTGTGGATGATGATGAACCACCCATGCATTCATTTTTTAATGAGTTGATACATTGGAAAAAAACAAAAACAAATTCTTGGAATGAGATTTAAGGATCCAGCCCAAGTTAAATCAATGTTGTGTAACTATGCAGTGGCTAATGGATATCAACATTGTTTTGAAAAAATTGATAGGAAAAGATTTTTGATTAGGTGTAGTAAGGGTACTTTCACATTTAGACTATGGGCTTCTTAGATGAGTGATGAACAGAGTTTCCAAATCAAGTCATTAAAATTTTATCATAATTGTGCTCGAAACTTCAAGTTAGGGTTACTAGTGACATACACATGGATTGGGAGTCATTATACCAGAGAGATTTTGCAGGGTCAGAAACTAAGTGTAAATAAGCTTAGGGTAAAGGTAATGACAAAGTTTGGTATCCAAGTTAGTACGGGCCAATCCAAGTTAGTATGGTCATATGATCATGAGATTCAGAGGACTAGTCCTTGGTCAACAGTAAAAATTAGATATGGAGATTGGTCCAGATGTAAAGAAGTATGTCAGTAAGTTCTATTTTTTGTTTTCAAGGAGCCAAATAAGGTTAGATGGAAGGATGTAGAAGGATAATAGGTCTTGATGGTTTGTTTTTTGAAATGTATTTATAAGGGGGAGTTGCTTTGTGCAGTTGGGAGGGATACAAATGATAAGATATATCCAATTGCTTGGGTTGTGGTATGTATAGAGAACAAGCAGAATTGGAAATGGTTTTTGGAACATCTCATTGAGGATCTACACTTGAATTTAGGAAATAGATTCATTTTTGTGTCAGACCAACATAAGGTTAGTTTTTCAAATGGACAACAAACTTAAGGTTAGGTTTCCTAAGAATGGTTATCATCAAAATGAACAAAGTAATTTTCATTAATTTCAAAGTCAGAGATTTTTTTCAAATGGAAAACAAACTTAAAATCGAACATCTATTGGTTATAACAAATTTTTCCAAAATCATTTTCAAACTCATGACAACCCATCTTTTCCAAAAAGAAATTTTGAAAATTGAATGTGAAAAGCACTAAGAAGGAACCTTTTATGCCAAAACAACCACAATTTCCCAATCCTGTTTCGAAGTAGCCAGTCAAAGCTTTGTTTGTCAAAGGGAAATCCGATGTGAAGAATATTAATCATTGGCTTAAAGGAAAAGGAAAAATTTGTCAATTTGTAAAGTATTCTCAAGAAGAATTCAAACATGCTTACGAAAGTTATTTGAATGAGTCATCCACTGATAGTTTTTCATCGAAAGAATCGACTCCCACTGTTCGCAAGTGGAAAGTTGTTCCCAAAACAAAGGGTTAGTAAAGACAAATTGATGTTGGAAAAGGGACAGTTAGTGTTGACCCTAGCCATGAATGATTTCATTTGTATACCTAAGTCAGTAGAAGTTGACTTACTTAATAGTTTGAAATCTAAGGTTCGAAGTTGGGTTTTATGATCTTCATTTCATAATGCATTCTACTCTAATAACCAAGGACCCAAAAAAACCTTGGGAACCTAAATTCTTTAATTGATCGCAGGTGTTAAGTGATGAGCAATACGATGAACATTGGTACATAGATAGTGGTTGATCTCATCATATGATAGGTTAAAAGGAAAATCTACGAGATTATCGAAGTTTAGACAATGCTGCTATTGTGAAATTTAGGAATAAAAATAAATGCAAAGTTAAAGGCTATGGGAAGGTCACCAATGACAATTTTACAGTCAATCGAGTAGCTTATGTCAAAGGACTTCAACACAACTTGATAAGTGTCTCACAACTTGTTGTGGGCACTCATAATCAAGAAGTTTTCGGTGAGGACTGAAGTGTTATTTCAAATAAAGAAACCAATGAAGTTTTGCTCAAGTCTAAGAGGAAAGGAGATATGTTTACTCTTGAAATCAAGCCAATTGTTGGTGTTTCCTCTGTTTTCCTACTTTCGAAAGCGTCATCTCATTTGAGTTGGCTGTGGCATCGACAACTCTCTCATTTGAATTTCAAAAATATCAAAAAATTGGTAGTAAACGATCTTGTTCGAGGCTTATTTGTTTTAAAGTTTGATAATGATTCGTTGTCATCATGAGAAATAAAGTATGTTGCCAAAGTGAGTTGCAACAGTCATATTCTCATGGGAAATAAAGTTCGTTGCTAAAACGAGTAAACAAGTTTCATTGCTATAATGAGCAAACAAGTTTGTTATGACAAGGAGCAAAAAATTTCATTGCTAAAACAAGTATATAGGTTTCCAGTAATGAAAGTTTGTTGCTATAGTGAGAAACAAAGTTTGTTGCTATAATAAGTAAGCTAGTTTATATGTATATGAGCAAACAATGAGTTCACAACCAAGCCTATGATTGATGTCCTATCAAGATCTATGCTTATCGTTTCATAGATTATATGGTATCATGTACTTCAACAATTAGGCGAGTGAGGAGTTGTCAATTCATAAAAGCGCTATCCAAAATGACCATTGGCTCAAAGAGTTAATGGTTGGAGTAAGGTGTAAGGGAAGGGACTTAAGAGGACAAAGCCTCATGTTTCAAGTTGCATAGATATACATAGCAAAATATAACAATCAAGTTTGATACAAATAAATCTAAATACAACGAACAATAAATAGTTTTTCGGACATGCTTTTTGACCCCAAACTTTTCGTGATAGTGTTATTAAATATATAAAAGCTGGAAAAAATATAAAAGTTCGTTTCCAAATAGTTTAGTTATTTTCTTTGTTTTATTAACTTAAATAAGAATTAATTCATGAATAATTAGTAAAAAGTTAAACAAAATTACCAAACATTTTTTTAAACTTCATATAGAGCGTACATAATCTGGAAAAAATAGCAAAATTGGTTTTCAAATAGTGTAACCCGATTTTATGATTTTTATGTGTTTATTTTAGCAAAAGTGAAGATAATTAAAAAAACAGTATGTAAAATTTCCCAAACTTGGAGTTCCACTTTTTTTAAATATATATAATTTGGATAAAATACCAAATGTGATTTTCATATATAAGAGTCTGATTTTCATAATTTATATGTATTTAACAAATAAAAATTAGAATAAATAGTAAACAGTTAGGATAATACATCATAAATTTTTTATAATTATTTTATGTTGTATATAATATGGGAAAAATATCAAGAGTCATTTCTAAATAATGGAATCCGATTTTTGGATATATGAATGTTTAATCTTAGAAAAATAGAACAAAAATAGCACACAAAAGATAAAAACCATGAAACTTTTTATATAGCATACTAACGTAATATAATATTTACTGGTAAATTGTCATGAATTTTGGATAAGTAAAACTATTTTTCCCGTTTTTAGTCCATTATAAACACAAAAATCATGGAAAAACAGATATGCAAAATGAAAAATTCTCAAAATATTTTTCTGAGTATGAAACATTACTTAGAAGAAGATAAAATTATTAAATGCACATTTAATATCTCGAACATTGATTTTATGATTTATTTGAGTTATTCCTAAAGAAATTAAAAATCATAGAAAACGGTAACAAAAATTGATGAAACTTCATGAGAGATGTTTATTATCTTTAAGCGCATCCACAAATTTATTCAGGATTTATGGCCCACAGAATGTATTTTATACGATTTATTGCTCTATTTTCTTGCAATTATTATAATAATTCGAGAAAAACAAATTATTTTCTGAAAATTTATAGAGCATCTTATTTTGTTGTTTGGATTCTAGGAAAAATCGTATTTGAACAAAAAAAGACATTTTACATATTTATTTGGGAATAAATCCTTTATGAACATATTTGAAAGCTTTTAACAACAAACTTTGATCATCTAGCATCTAAGCTTGAAGATCATCACATGCATGTTGGTTTGAAGACCAATCATGAGTTTGAAATGTTCAAAGTTCGTTTTTGAAAGAAAACTTAGGGTGCATGTGATGATTTTTCACCAATACTTATGGAAATGTTCATTTCCTTGGTTTGACATAGGTTTATGTCATGGATCTTCACCATTTCGTAACATGCAAGATGTTTTTGGTGAAAATCTACTACCATCATTATCAAATCCGAAGGGTAGATGACCATGCATAAGATTTTTATGATGAAGAAAGATGAAGACGAAGAAGATACTAAAAATATGTCGAAAATAAAGATGAATAACAAGAAAACTTATAAAAATTATTGGGGATCTTCAAAAGATGTATATACTTTACCTTTTCTATGATTTGTGGATTCAAAAACACAATCTAAACTTGTAAATTTCATGGCTTTAGGGCTGATTAATAGAGAAAGAAAATGTGGTTTTTAGAGAGAGAAAAGTGAGAAAAAAGAGATTATAAATCATATACACACATCGTGCACTTGAATTAGAAAAATGATAAGAATAAGGGTATTTATCTTGGGTATTAATTGTAAGGAAAATACAATTATTATTATATTTTAAATCACATTTCCAAATTTAGAATGAAAGAGCAAATGTAAATAATTTCAAAATAAAAATAAAATTAATGTGATAAAAGGCGTAATTGAATAATCAAAGTTGACTAAATCAAAATTATGTCTCATGACTATACACATAATAATCACTCAAAACGAAAGGGTACACTTCTAGTCTGCATGTGTACAAACTGTTGGATAAGGTGTCTAAGTCCATAACTTATTTGGTATATACTTGACCCGACCCGGCATGGTCCATTTGGGTTGCATTTCATCCAAACTATTTATGGATAATTTTATGAGAGTTATACACATATGATTATTAATATATTATAAGTTATAATATATTAATATGAAGTCATGTTATTTAATTAGTCTTAGTCTTAAATTAATTATGAATTAATTTAGAGATTAAAAGGAAGACTAATTAGATTGTGGGCTATTGGTTTTATATGGTGTGGGCTAACACTCATTTGTTAATGGGTTAGGCTTGTATGGAAGTCCATGGATGATCCATGGAGCTTTTAACCCATGGATCCTTGGAAAAGGAAAGGTCATGGGTTATTAGGGTTTCACCCTAATCATGTACATTATATAAGCATGCTTATGTTGCATGAAATAGCCACTAGTGTCACTAGAGTATGTGTGTTTGTGTGTGGCCGAAATTTATAGTGTGTATACACTCTCTCAAAGTTTTCCAAGAGTTTATGATGATTTGTGATTCCATTTGAGGCATTCACACTATTGGTGCTTTGCCCTCAAACTCCTTAAGAATCAAAGTCATCAAAAAGGTATGTAATCTCATCTAATTCTTTTATATTTAAAAGTACCCCATGCCATGGTAGATAGGTTATGAACCTTGGAAAATTATTATTTTGCATGTATTTAGACAAACATAGATCCAAGGTTTATTAGGGTTGCATGCACACTTAGGAAGTGTTAGATTGCTCAAAACCCAACAGTGGTATCAGAGCCTAGGCTTTCTTGTTTGATACTTGATGCAAAATAGTGAAAAAGGTCGAAATTTTTTCTGTCTGCATGATGGACTCGCCGAGTCCAAGGCAAAATTCATCCTACTCGCCGAGTAGGTTCGTGCACTCGGTGAGTAGAAGGTTTAGAATGCAGATTTTCGACTTTTGCTGCTGGAAATGGACTAGAAACTTTACTCTAAACTGTTTTGATGTTATAAAACTTATTTTAGTTGGTGTAATGGTTGTTCTAATCCATTTACAATAGCATATATCAAAATTTCATGCTTTGTATGTGTTCATATAATTCTTGAAACATTGATAATCATTTTCATGTTCTTATGAATTTAGAAGATGATAGGAATTATTTGCTGAATTGTTTAGGATTAATTCTTGATCATTTATGTGTTTTGATGGAGTCCATAATTTGTCCTCAAGTTATGGATATCCAAAGGTCACTTTTCTTTAACACACACTAAAAACACATAACTCACATAAAATGAAGAGTCTTCATTTTATGAACCATTAATTCATAAGTTATGATATGAAAAGTTTTGAAGAGTTACAAAACTTGCCCTCAAGTTTTGGAATTTGGAAAAGTTTCACACACTTTAATAAACTTTAATTCCAACACTTAGAATTTTTAAAAGTTAAAATTCAACACTTATACTATTTATAACATTAATGGTTAATTATATATATATATATATATATATATATATATATATATATATATATATATATATATATATATATATGTATAAGAACAAGTCATTTTACCGTTAGTAGGCCTCATTCACGAAGCCGGTCTATAAGGTGGGTATAAGGTTGTTGCCTATAAAATGGCGACTTAATGGGTGTCCACTCTCACCCACCGCTTGCTTGATCGGTGGAGGGTCGTTAGCCGAACGGGTAGGACAATGACTTTAAATTCTCATTAAAAGTATAATGAATATTATAAAGTAACTAAATATTTTTTTATTTAATTCCCAATCTTAGTTACTTTAGGAAAAATGTGAATTTGGTGCTTAACCGGCACACTAACTTGGACTAGTAAGGACCACGAAGGGTGACTTAATGTTTGTCATAGATCAATGGAGCGTGTGTGGTTAACCGGCACATTGATTAGGTGATAATATTAAGGGTACCAAGTGAATTGGTATGGTTATTCACACCTTGTTTTGTGATCCTCGGCATCCCAATCACAAAATTTGAGAGGGCACACTCGAGATTGAAACATGCCATTGAAAAGTTCAATGAATCTCAAAAGATCTAGGAATTTCAAATCCAATTAAAACCTAATAAATTATTTCGTTTTTCATGGTGGAAATTTGTGAATCGCCATTTGCCTACCTTTAAATATTTTATAGCTTGGATTACGGCATCCCTCTTCCAAATTATAAAATATTGTGTTGGGTACTAGCCTTAATAT